TCCGAACGCGTGACTATTGTTTGTTTCAAAATCAAAACCGAAATCGTTTGGACCGTTCGTAAAGCGTTTTGGATTGTGTTGTACAATATCGCGCGCGCGTTCGATAATTTTTGTATTTTTTTTTTTTTTTTTTTTATGTACCGTCTCGTAAGGTTGGTGATATGCACACGTACAAACACATTAAACATATTGCCTTGACTGACACGCCGTTCGTGCGTAACCGACATTAAGGACCACGCGTATTCGTGCGCACATTCAGCGTACACTACGCGCGGTTCGACTAATTTTGCAACGACACATAATATATTACCAATGATCATTGATCAACGATAATGTCCGATACGAAATTGTCGTACTGATGTGTTGTCGTTTTATTATCGGTACTGGCCTGTAACGTTTCGCGGTTACTGCTGGCCGTGTTGTTCACGAGTCGTACCCCACGTCCAAGCGTTTCATGTGCGCACCGTAAACGTGCGCGGTATTTCTAAATGTAAAAAAGTCGATTGTTACAACATTCGAACGTATTTTTTCGTAAAATCTAAAGTGTAAATGGTACGCTCTATTACGCATTGTGTTCACGTCAATTTATACGCCATTAAAATCGTTCATATTTACCATTTATATGTATATTTGTATAATATACTCATGGGTGGATAGTTTTTAAAGTCCGTACACAAAATGTAAAATCGAAATATACATAATGTGTAGTTGTGCAGCACATGATATCGTACGGATCAAAAAGTTGGTCAGATGTCTTCGATTTCCCTGCGCTGTGGATATTTTGTTTTATTTTTGTAACGTACATATTTATTTTTATCCAATACGGCACAAAACAGAACATTTTATTTGAATATTAGTACTTTTCAAACACAATAACAGGTATAATAAGGCAATGATAAAAAATTAAAATAAACCACCTTCTTTTTAATATTAATAGTTATATATATATATACTTTGTTTGATTACGTTGTGTATATAATATTTTTCAATTGGGATTCATCCTTTAGTATAATTCATAAATAAATGTATTATACGATTTGACCTTTTTTTTTTTTTAATAAAAATATAAAGCAAGTCATAAAGAAAAAGAAACATATCATGTACCATAATAACAGATCCGCCGTATATAATATCATCTGTAATGATATCTTAAAAATGTCTAATAATAATAATATCAAATAAATATGAACAAATTATAGATAAACAAAAATTCAACGGCGTCGCTGCAATCATTTTACTTATGCTTGTGTTAAAATATAATAAATAACATCGAGGTGCACTTTTTTTTTTACTTCTTTTACAAAGCAAATAAATAATAACTTCGTGCACATCACACGATTTTCATCCGTGCATGAAATGAACCGTTTGTATTACATGATATAAGTATAAGTTTGGATCGAAAAAAATGAATTGAAATAATACGTAAGTGCATGCATCTATCTATGATTAATATTAGAGTTGAATTTAATATTTACTATATAGTATACGACTGCTATCGAAACGCTAACGGACGAATTTTATCCACGACCAACGTGATACGCCAATTAGAAACATGTATTTTTAACGAATTACAAAAATTGAAACGTCAAATAATATTCTATACTCGTATATATATAGCATAATACTCGTGTACACACCCACACACATTGTATACATCTGTACGTGTAGGTGTGCACGCGTGGGGCATAGCGGTTCGTCAACGTCAATATGATTCGCATATTATGTGTACCTACCGTTTTATTTGTCTTCTGTGTGTACCCATAGCACACATACGCATACGGTCGTTTCGATTTTAAATTTCACTTTATTTTCCTGTTCCCGGATATGTGTAAATATTTTTTTATCGATTTCCTGTAAAAATAATTTCGTCTACACGTACCGTTTACAATATACACTATATATTCGTAGGTATACAAGACTGTGCTTATTTTTCGTCAAAACCTTGATAACCTACCTACAAGCCACCTATTTCTGAACGTCCCCACGGGTGATTCTGTCTTAAATAATACGTTTTGCAGACGTACTGTTAGAAATAAAAAATATAAACGTCTCATCGAATTTAATTTATCGACGTACATGGAAATGATACAGTTTGGGTAAATTAACATTTGATTGTGTCATTTCATTGTGATTGATGTGTATTTTGCACATCCAATACAATTTTAATTGACTCGGACAGAGGACAACTGGTTTTTTCGAGACACAAAATAGTACTTGTTAATGCACTAAATTTTGATTTAATATAGATATGTAAAATTACATTCCAGATTAGAATCTTTTATCAAATCATGAACTTTTTTTATTGAAATACCATCATCTTCGTCCAATTCCATAACGACACTTTTAATTAAAGAAAAATGTTCACAATAATAAATCGCAGCATTGATCCATGTTCTCCAACTTGTGAGTATGGGCTCTTGAGGTAAAGGAATATTCGGTGCAATACTTCAGAAATTTTGTACTCGAGATGGAGCTTTAAACTGTAATCTAATTCCCTTGCATACTCGATGCAATGCGTGAGCTACACAAGTAATGTGTTCCATTTTTGGATTAAATATTTTAATGGTTTTACCAGCTTCACCATATACGGTGCGGCATCCGATAAAAATAATAAAATATTCTCATCCCTAATTCCTTCAAGCCATACAATTAAAAGCGACTTATCAGATAATCGATTTATTGTTGCGTAGATAGCTTTATCTAATACTTCCGAATTTAAAAGAAATATTTTACCTGGGCTATCAATTTCTAAGGTGCCTATTATTACGTTTGCCACATAACGACCAGCTACATCTGTCGTCTCGTCGATCGATACCCAAATTTTCTTTTCAGATGCATATGTTCTTATATTATTAATTGTTTCTGTGTAGCATTCTGTAACATATTTCTTACGCAATGTTGATTGATCTGGTATAGTTTTATTTGTATACTTCTCAAGAAATTTTCGAAATGATAGTTGAAATAGTTTATAAAGTGGTATATTTGAACATAAGGCATAAATCTAGTTTAGGGGCCAAGCGATTTTTTCAATTTTTTTTTATCAAAACTCGTGTATTTCATCGAGTTAAGAACGATGGTGCAATCAAAATTTGCCGCTTTCGTTTAGTTTCGAAATTATGGCCTTCCAAAGTTTTGGATTTTACGTTTATACGCATGCGCGCAATACTACTATAATGACGCGCGGAGGACCATTTTTGTTATTTTTCTGTACTTACGTATTCGGTATACCTTTTTTTTTTTTTGAAACTTATGTAGTAATGTAGTATGTACCCTGTGACCTACTTGAGGTGGTGTTGTATAGCAATTCGGGGGATATTTTCGATTTGAATGCGCTCGGCGGAGCCGAGTGGGTGCGACACGAGTTTGCAGAGCAAGCGAGGGGAGTTTTGCGAAGTGAGCAAAGCGAACGGAGCTGCGGAGCGAAGCAACGCTCAATGTTATAAACAAATGAATTATAACAATGTTATAAACGTTCCCTAACAGTTAACACGTCTGCCTGAATATAAATTAGTGAAATCAAGGTAGTCACTGAAAAATGACAAAAATGGTCCTCCGTGCGTCATTATAGTAGTGTTGCGCGCATGCGTATAAACGTAAAATCGAAAACTTTGGAAGGCCATAATTTCGAAACTAAACGAAAGCGGCAAATTTTGATTGCACCATCAAATTCAGTGCCTTATAACACACATTTTGGGGGAAAAAAAATTGAAAACGAGCTTGGCCCCTAAACTAGATTTGTTCCGAACATAATAGGGCCTTGCATAAATCGCAGTTAAATGTCGTTGCTGTCGATGGGCCGTTTAATAAAGTCTGAGTAGTAGATCGTTTTTGTTGATTTCTTTTTTGTATACCCATCATATGTTTATCAAGTGCAACATGTTGAGAAACTTTAAATTTTTTTTCACCTGCAACTTTTAGGTCACAGATTTTGCAATTAAGTATTGTCCCGTCAGTAGTAAAAATGTTGTCACCGAATTCGCGCTCATGTGCACGTAAATGACAAGCCAACGATTGTTAAGGTTAAGGCATTTTAAGTTTTAAAAATATATTAAATAAATTCGAACACAAACTAGATAGGTATGACACCACACGTGATTACAGGAAAAAACGATTAAACTTGTCGGCATAACGTATTAACGATTACTGATATCGTGATTCCGCGAGTCGCGACAATACTCCGTACATTAGCACTCAAATATAAACCCCAATGGAAATTCCTATAGTTAGTGAATGCCAAATAATATTATTGTAAATTTAGAAATTGTAAACAAGTCAATAAATATCGTTATCATTGCGTCTGAAGTCCAGGCAGTCAACGTATTACGAACCACTACTTCCCACTCGGTAATCACTTTGACAAAATCGATGAATCTATTTTCAAGAATATTTTCCGATAAGGCGATAATTTTTCACTACAAAATCAAGAAATATATATAAAAATACAATTAAAATAAATTAATAAATAATAATTTAGATAAAAATGTACGTAAATGTTTTAAAAATGTTAAATGTGCGTGTAAATAACAAAAACTAATTAAAAAGGCTAATAAACTGTCAAAAAAGTACCAAAAGAGCATTTAATTACGAATATCATAAAAAAAGAAAAAAGAAAATTGCATATTTGAACTCCGTGATGGATGAATCGAATTTCGTTTTTGATTAGCTATGTCCTGGAATACTAAGAAAGAAAATGCAAATGCTACAGAATCCTAGCCCTATTAATATGCTATATAGTAGGTAATGTGACTTGGACGTTGGTATAAAATATGACATTCCCGCGGCTATCAACTATTCGTAACGAACATGATTTATGTTATAATTCATAAATAAAACATCATCGTGTACGACTTCCTTTATGCAAATAAAATACGCGCGCCATGTTGATCACTGCTGTACCTTAACTGTTTCTGTTTCGGAATTTCTTATCTAAGTGCCCTGAAAATGTAGCCAATAAATTGTGAAAAAATGCATACATTCATATTGTACGTATCATGTTCTAGGCGATGCAGGAACGTTGAACGAAAACTACGGAAGATACATAGGATCCTTTAAAGGTCTTGCTCATGGGGTCCGCGGGACCGTGTACGCAGTAGACGAAAACACGCTGTACGTCCGAGGATTTTTCTATGATGGTATTGGTCCGAGTAAGTACCCACAACTATACGTACTATTTCATAAAATCGTCCCCGTGACACTATATTATCATATGCAGTTATTCGTCGGTCGAAACGCATACGTCGCAATAACGTTTTATCGTTTTCAACGTTTTCGAACAGTTCGGTGTAAGGAGTGTTACGAGCCGTATACGGAATACACGTGCGCTCGTTGTGGATAGGTAGTTTAAAAATCGGTTTTGGACGAGTGTCCGATGAAAATCGTCTTACAGACACGCGCTATTGTAATATACTTCACAATAACTGTCATAAGAAGTTTAAACGAACTACGTTCTTCATCATCCGAAGTTCTGGGCTTTCTTCTTTTTAGTAATAAGCGCAGAGATTTTTCTGAATTATACCTATGACAAAAATATTCATATTAACGCATTTTAATGCGTATGCGTTCCAATAGTAAGCTTACACTGCTGGTAGACCATTAGCATTGTAAATGATCTAAGAAAAATAATTGCCATATTCGCATATTTGTCATCAGATGTTGATGATAACTAAAGCTGGGATATATATTTCTATTCTTATTACATGCTGTATGTATTTAAATTGGAAAAAATATGTAGTAGAAAATAGAAAAAATATGCAATAAAAAAAATTCAGTAATATGCGTAAACGGGTTAAATTAAAATACAATTCAAAACCATTTTTGATAAATTAAAATTAAAACAATGACAAACCATGTATAATTTTAAGTTTTCAAATTTGAAACTACGACGATTTGGTATTGACACTGACTTATATCTACTAAAAGAGCGTTCCACACCACAAGATGTTATCGGTGCATGCTTGACGGTTGTTATTTCACTAGGCGAAAGATTGAGTGCCTTCGTTCATAATACCCCCAAAGTATGTATTTTAAACATTTAACGAACTTAAGTCCCGAATTTCTGTTTAAAGCGGCATGAATCAGTAATAACCATTAAAACAATTGACGGCTTTTTAACAATTACAATTGAACGGATAACGAATAGGTATTTTCGACCCGGATCCGCTATGTTCACAAATAACATTATGTTATCAATGTCAAATCATGTTATGCGATCCATAACGAGGAATGACGGTTATGAATCGTGATTATACTTGTGCAACTTCGTTCGATGTCCAAAACGAATTTCTTTACACATCTGTTACGTAAAAAGTGCCTATGAACATTGGAGGTGGATAGCCAAGTTAATTATATATGTCGGTAGTTATTAATTATGTACTATTAATGTATTGTTTTTATGTATTATACATAATACTATAGAATTATTTTTTTATTCTACGCTTTTAATTTCAATTCGTTGTTGACTTGTACTTGAAGTATAACGCATTATAATTGACCGCTAACAGTGTAAGACTACAGCACTATTGCCGTTCGATCAACATGTTAGTCGAATCATGTGTATTGAGTAATTTTCGCTAATGAAATTCCGTTTTGCGTGTTCATTATTTTCCCTCGAAAACGCGCTTCGTCACTTGTTGAATTGTTGGCGTTGCACACTAATTAGCCGGTAGCACCGATAATCTGTCCTGGGTATTTTATTTGCTTGCAATGTATTTTCTTGAAAGTCAATGGTGAACTGTTGTTCTGTGAAATATTGTCGTGGAAGGTAACGAATATCACCATTTCTTGGTAGAATTTTCCCTTATTGGTTAGCACGAAACTGCCGAAACGTTGATACCAAACGTAAAGTACGTAAAGTGAACATTTTCGCTTAAAAATGTTAAACACACTATAAGTATTTAATTTTCTATTTTAAAAATCTTTGTACATGTGTGTTTTTAAATTAGACATAAATAAATACATTATTTATATATTATGTATTTCTTTAATTTTTAGCTGCATATTTTTGGGCCGGTAAATCATCAAGAATATCTCCGGACGGATTTACCATTCCGTATCCCGAGGACTATCCGGCAATGTAAGTACGACACTAATAACGATCTAATAGTTCACAAGAAATGTATTATAATCGAATCATTGTTTTATAAGGCTTATTCATTTCGTTCTGTTATAACAATTGTTAGTTAACTTCAAACAAAAATTATTTTTGCAACTTAAAGCCGACAAATTGTATGTGTATACCATACATTGAAATACTCTGAAAAATTGTAAGGATAACCGTTGAATTCTACGTATTGCATTTAAGTCAAATTCTAAACTCTATTTTATTTGGTTTTCTATAAATAAGTTTTACATAATATGTAAAATGTATGTAGGGTGAATTTTAAAAATCAAGACTCGTGGTATTGTTTCTTGCTATTTTACATCGGTAAGTGCTTTATACGTTGAAAAAATCACCATACTCGCATTTATTTTGTTTCGATATAGGTAAGTTCACTCGACCATATAAAAAAATATTTTAAGCGAACCTGTTGATTTTTTTTTCTATACTGTAAATCAATTTACCGTCAAGATCAAATTTTAAATATAACTATATTTTAATAGCATAAAAATATCAAACATAAGATTTAACTAAAAATGCAACGATTTTATTCACTTCATCTGTTACGATTTCTAAACGAATATTATTCGATTTGATGTTGGATAGATTTCGATATTTACATTTTTTCCGGAATAAGCTTTTGTTTCGATCGATTCCGTTTTCGTTCACACGCAACATGTTATTGTATCATAACGTACGAATCAGATATGGAAATAACGACTGTTTGCACCTAATACAATTTGTTACGTAAAATATATTCTGCGCACATTTCGAATTATTTTTTCTCGGCAAATAGTTTTTTATATTTTTATTTATGTTTTTATTATATACGCGTTTGTAATTCGCACACAGGTATAACACATTATTTTAATAATGTTAGTAAGCACCTAAATACATAATTCTCACATACACATTATCATGATTGTAATCCAGTTCCGTGAACAAACGGTGCTACGACAGGGTTGTCCGTTAAAATGTACTGTAAGTGAAATTATACGTTTTACCAACAGAACTAAAAAGAAGTTCAACATATTTTTTACGGTCGCTCTTAAACAATGAAATGTCAAAGTTTTAAATATCCAGTATTATAGTACTGTGTATACACATTGCTACATCACAAAACTACCGCCTACGCTATAGGCTGCTTTTCAGAAGAAAATATTTTTCTACTTTTGTGTGGATTAAGCTCTGCGATCAATTATTTATTTGTTATTCATTGAATTGTCAACGAACCCATTACAATTATTGTAATCGATATTAAATGGAACCGTTTGGGGTATGGAAACGCACGGTGTTATGTATATTACACTTGAGAAAATAATTTATGTTTAGATTAAATTACGCACATGTACTGTACATCCCTACATCGTTGTCAATCGAGTATAACAAAATGTACTTTTTTAACATTACGAACCTATTCCTGGATATCCAAACGCTTCGAATGTTGCCGGTGAACATTGATAATCATACAATCAACATTGTCACACAGATAGACGTTTTCAATAAACGATAGCCCTAACGGTGATTAATCGAACGCATTTTTCCGCGTATGCATTCGAACATCACGGTAACGGTTAAAAAAAATTGTACAGATGTACCTATGTGCTAGGTAAGGTAAGGGTTCGAATAGCTACCCGGGCGGTACACATCTAAACCCGTCATCAACTTGTCGTCGGCTATGTAACCCTATCGACGTCTCGTGATGTATATATATTACATATAGATGTATATATATTACATATAGTCGAAAGAGCTTTCCGAAATACCCAATACCACCCCGCACGACAACTCGTGATTACGTATACATTAGTATTATACAGAGCGATCCATTTGATTTTCTACAATCGTTCCCTCAGTGAGTTTCGACGGTTAAAGATATATTTTTGTTTATGGTTTATTTACGGAATTACACGTCTACTCCGTTTTTATGCATATAAAATATAAGAACTATGTACAGCTGTACATGTATACATAAGGTTGAATATATCGTACATCGTATTTCACGTTCAAATAAATAGTCTATCTTAAAGTATATATTATGTTGTTTAACCCGAACCTGATATAGAAATATAAAAAATTTGGCATTTTACGCAAATTTTTTTTTTTAATATATTTTGCTTATTTCGCTCATAATTATTTAATACGATAAAAGTTGTATTTAAAAATAAAAATAAAAAAGATCAGTTGCCTATCCCGCCTAACATTAAAAATCACCCTGTTGCTTAAAACACAGGGAATGGAATTCAGGAAAATATTATACTTGAACAAATATTATAGTGATGATCAAAGTCAAACGAATGTTGGCTAAAAATATAACAATCGCACTTAAGATAGAAAAAAAAACGCAGTAACGATTTTTATTGACTGTATTGATGAGATAAGTGTTGTGCGCCAATGTTTTACTGCGTACGAGATGAGATGGGGCGAGTTCAAGAGCATTTATCTCGCACAGCAATGAATATATGTATTCGAATAAAAAATCGTATTACGATTTCGATACCGTTTTTTAATATGCATAATATATATTATTCTGTTTTTGTCGTTTCACAGGGAACCGCCCCCGCTACAGACGCACAACAATTCCAACATCATACTGCGGTTGCCGGCTGGGAAACGCATCAAAGACATCAAATGGCTGTCGGTCTGGTGCAGGCGGTTTACGGTGAGCAAAAAAACGATACGAATGTACTCGTATTATCTTATCTCATTTCTCACATCGTATCTGCGCCTCACGGTTACTAACCTAATCAGCGCGGCACATCATGCGGAAGGGGCGCGTATAAAAAATTACGTTCTTTTTTTATTTTTTTCTAAACGTTTTTTTTTCCGGTTTTTCATTCTCCGTGACGGAAGCGTATAGCAGTTACACCCCCTTCCGTTTAACAATAATACGTTTGAACGTCGGAAAATATGCGCGAGCGCGCGTGCATGCATTACGAGCGCATTTTTGTCACACGAACAATTAAAAACAATAAAACGGCAAGCGTGTTACGCGAGTTTGTTATGACGATTTTTCCCGCTGAAAAGTTACGGACGGGGAGGGAAAAAAAAGTTTTAAGTTTCACGCGAAACAGTCGTGCACCATACGAGTGTCCCGAGCGTAAGAACGTGACTGGCGGATGTGACACGACAACTTCGGTTTTTGTTTCAATTAATAATAATTAGCCGGGGCTGAACGAAAACTTTTATTGTAAAAAAAAAAAGAATGAGAACAAACATAGAGCCATGTGATAATAATAAAAACAAAGCGGTTATGATTTATATACGTATGAATATAGTTTTTTTGATTGTATTTTTAAACGAACCACGAAACATTATTATTTCGACATCGAATGGAAGAAAAAAGTACCCCCCATATATATAGCTTTTGTAAGCGTCGAAACCCAAACTTTTTTTCTCTTTTCTTTAGTCACCTTTCTTTTTCTGGGTTTTTTTTTTTTTTTTGTTTCATATTTTTTAAAGTAATACGTCCACCAACTCTCTTTCTCTCTCGATATATATATATGTGTACTGTATGTATACCCCAGCGGCGGTAACGGTGGTGGCGAGTGATGGCCGTGACTGAAAACTGCCGTCTACTCCCGTGCGGCGTATGGAGTGGCATAAAATCAATATTACACTTTTTGCCACGGCATTTCAAAAATCACGTGAAATAAAAGTAAACCGTTTACAACAATGAACCGTATTTTTCGGATATTCGACAGTATTATATATTTATTGATACGTACACACAATGTACAATATATATATTTATAAAATCACTTTTTCACACAAGACGCATGTGCATTGTCTATCCGCATTCTTCCTTCGATATCACTATTTAATATAATTTTCCATTACAATAATACGACGTGTGCATATAGACGAAAAACGAATGCGGTACGTGACGTAGTCATATTCAGTGTAACATTGTATTTACATTTTAAAATTCATCAACTCACTGTGGTTCTTAAATCTTTTTTATTTATCGTTTTATTTTTATGGATATTACATGTTTTATACGATAAGTCCGAAATCATAACGACATCGATATAATCGTTTAATTTACACATACGGTAGATAATTCGAGTGAAATCAGACGTTCATTGATTTTCAAAGGCATGTTTTATAATTTAGTAACGAGATTTATCAAAACGACTATAATTTACAAAAATATATCATATAGTTATTGAGAATTTTCGTATCGAATCTCGGCGTTATAAACTCGAACCGTTAAGTGAATAATAAATGCAAAAAAATATAAATAGTGTTTAGGTAAAGATATCTGTATAAAGGTTTATTTTTTATATTGTACAATTCATTTTAAAACAGCATTAAATTTTTAATTTACTTACGAATTCTTTTTTGAAACTATGTCATAAGTGCTCGAAGAGTTTTTTAAGATGCGGTAATAAAATCTGAATTTATCATCTCCAGAAATTCTTCTGATTAAAATATACAAATTAATTTTAATCAACATAGTATTAAAAATTCTTTATGCATTATAATACAGTTTATAATTTACATTTAGTTATAATAGGGTGAACTATAGTTTTCCAATGTTGCTGGCATACAAATAATTCTTTTCTTATTGTGCACAGTTGAAGGAAAATCAGTTTTATCTACATGTTAGTGGCACAATTAGATTTTGACGTCTGGCGTTGAAGACGGAAATTAAGAATTTTATGGACGGAAAGAATTAGGATAGTGAAGAGATAAATAGAAATCAATGAGGATTAGATTTTACAAAGGAAAAAATAAGTGAATCGGACATTTAATAAAAGTAGTACGACCCTTGAGAAATGATGATAATAATTGAAGGAAAAATTAATGACTAGTGTTGAAAGAAAAAACCGCGAATGGTGTTCTATGTAGATAATCGGAAGAGACACAGGAATAAAAATGTTTATGGAACTCAAAAGAGTTATAAATGTCTGGTAGAAATCAAGGGATTCATTAGTAGTTTGAAATTTATCTCGAAAAAAGTGTCACAATAGTTACTGGCTCTTTTCCCGATCCTATTATTTTTCGTTTTTTCCGTGTATCTCGTCGCGGATATCTCTACCGAATTCAAACGCGTCGCCAGTGTGCGCGCCAAGTGCGTTTTTATATCGCATCAAATCGTCGCGATAAAAAGACTAGCTGTTGCACGGGCGGAAGTCGTTGATGGCCGAGGTATCACTGCGCTGTACCCGGTATCCGTATCGTACGGAGAGTAATAAAAATATTAATAATATTTATACGTATCGTTTTCGGAAGGAAACGATAACTGGATCGACGAAACACGTTAGTTCCGATAGCACCCCGTGCCCGATATTTCTTTTCTCCCCCTCTAACCTAACGGGGTGCGTACACGAGGGTAGTACACGTATACAAGTACCGTATAAATAAACGCGCGGGGCTCGACGGTGGCGGGTGATTGCACGGCCGCGAGTTCATTACGATGTACATAATAATATAATACAGTGCACGGACCACGACCCTGTAGCGGCGAAGCTGAGCTGTGAGGGTTGCATCCCGGTGAGTGCAACCACCGCCATCGGGTCGTTATCGCTCGTGTGTGTGTGTGTGTGTGTGTGTGTGTTGGTTTGAAATTAAATCGACACCCGCCGGTCCAGGTCGGATGAGATTGCAGAGCGTATAATAATAATACATATACATATATAGTGTATAGGTGAATCGGGCCGACACGGTCGTTTTGTATTCCGGTCCAGCGCGAGCGAGGGTGAGGCTAGGGTGACTCCAATACGAGGGGTGGAAAACTGCGGCGGCGATGACGGTAAAGCGTGCGCGCACACACGTACACAATTTTACGTGTGAGCGTGTGCCGTGCACGTGTGTGCGCGCGCGTGGGTACACTTATATTATTATTCATGGGAGTACGAAAAAAAAAAATCTCGAAATTCAAATCCGAAAGGCGTGCCGAGTTTTCTATTTTTTCATTCCCCCAACCGCTTGTTCGTACCCGTACACACGTATACGTATAACATTATACTCCAGAGCCGGAGAAGGAAAGCTTTTTAAATTCACTTACAACGCGGCGCGCGCGACCACTAGGTGTACGGTGCCGTACACCGACTCTCGGGGCCAGACGCTGCGGCGGCCACGTGAAAACGGAATATATACGTTTAATGCACTTGAGCGCGTTATGTACACACGCATAATATTACACGCACACACGAAGAGGTGTAGAATGTCTAGGTGGATTTTTCTTATTTTCATTTTTTTCATCCCCGCTACTTTTCTTGCACTCGTCACTCGATTTTGTAATAATAAAATACGAATCCGCGATAACAATAGCAGTACAACACCTTTACGGCGACGCCGCGACGAACAGCGCGTTATCAACTGTATCAAATGCGAAACGTAATCATTACGACGCGTAAGCCGAACGATTAATCAACTCGACACTGGAAACCGACGCGGCCCTACCCTCGCGTCAGATAATTTCATGACGTGCGTTTATGACCGAAAATGAATCCCTGCGTACAGCCATAAAACGACGCGAGTATAGTGGCACTTGTTATTTATACCTTATAAACTGATACCCGGACGAAATTGTTTTCCGAGTGTTTTAGGAGTTATTTTGTTCTGCAGAATCGACCTTTCTGCATTTTTCGTATTAATATTTTATTAAAACACAAGAGTTTTGAAAAAGCGAATTAAATAAAAAAAAAAAAAATGAACTAGGTATTCATTTTTATAATTTTTTTTTTTTTTTTTAACTTTTGTCGAATGTTTAATAATCCGTGAAAATTTTAAATTTTCAAACGTATTTTAAGTATTCTCAAACACCTATAATTTTTATTCTTTAATTGATTTATAATCGTTGAGAAATAAAACCATTGTTTTCAATTTCTCACCCGCAACGGGTTAAATAATATAAATAATTCATAATAAATACTTACTTGTAACTTTTTAATGCCTAAATGTAACTACTACATTTTACTTAATGCTGACTATAATATGAATTTGAATTATTCATATACGTATGGTTCAATAAGTAAGTACACCATTTCGATTATGAGTGAAGCAAGGAATGTACTTTATACATGAGGAAAAAGGGTTCTATCAATGCATTATCAAAAATGATACGTACATATAATATTTACTATCAACAAACTTTTGGTTTCCCCGTTAGTTGCCCAACTATAGACCAGTTGTCAAAAATTAGTCGAATTATTAAAAAGAATTATGAATTTCGACAGAATGTATGGCAAGTACGAGTATTTGTCAGTTTTAAAAAAGTTTACGATATCATTCACCGGGAAAGCGTTTTTAATATAATGGCTGAATTTAAGTTTCCAGCAAAACTAATAACGTTAACAACGATTACAATGGTTTGGACATGCTATGCGAAGAGATGGATCAATAGCTGTTAGGGCTGCTATAAAGTTTCAACTAAGTGGAAAAAGACCGACAGCTAGACCAAGGAAGTGATGTTTCGATGGTATAAGTTAGGACATAAGGACGCTAAGCGTAGAGAACTGGAAGGAAATTATCCAGGATAGGGAAAGATGGGAGGCATTGACGGTGGCCCCGAAGACTCTTAGAGAGTTATAAAGCTAAGAAGAAGAAGTTAGTTTCTTATACATAAAAATATGTGTATATATTTTCCGTACTCTAATATCTTGGACACGTACATTGGAGCGTTTCTGTGTGGATTATTACATTTGCACATTA